GTTTAGGGTTACGGTTAGGGTTAGGTTTAGGATTAGGGTTAGATTTAGGGTTAGGTTTGGGCTTAGGATATGGTTAGTGTTAGGGTTAAGTTCAGGGTTAGTGTACATTTAGGGTTAGTGTTAGTGTTAGGTTTAGAGTTAGGTTTAGTTATAGGGTTAGGGTCAGGTTTTGAGTTATTTTTAGGGTTATTGTCAGAGTTAGGTTTAGGCTTAATTTTAGGTTTAGGATTATGATTAATGTTAGCTTTAGGGTTAGGATTATGGTTAAGGTTAAGGTTACGGTTAGGTTTAGGATTAGAGTTAGATTTACGGTTAGGGTTAGGGCTAGGTTTATGGTCGGTGTTCGTGTTAGAATTAGGGTTAGGATTAGTGTTAAGTTTAGGGTTAGTGTATGTTGATAGTTGACCCTCTTTTCGCTATAGATTACTAGAGCCTCAGTGTAATTCCGTAGTATGTAAGTAGAGTTTCGAGACTACCAGTAAATCAGTAGTATGAGATGTATTCACCCTATTTATTTTAAGGTGATGGAGGACTGGTAGTTGAATTTTCTCACGATGATATGAATAGAGCTGACGTTTTCATTGAAATTCACATTGAATTTCACATGAAATTGAATGTAATCGTCAGCTCTACTCATATGCTTGTGGGATAATTCGACTACCAGTCCTTCATCACCTTAAATGAAATAGGGCGAATACATCACATATTAATTCAGTAGTACCAGGAACGGGATTTAAAATCGGAAGCATTACTACTCGCAGCATTCTCGTTCATAATTTGCTGATCGTCTCAAAAACTACTTGTCCGCTCCTCTGCCTCAACAAATCAAATTGCTGCCTATTTATGCTCCGATGCATGGAACAAATTTCAACAATTTCGAAGCAAAATGACCCAATAAAAGGTCAGAATATGCTCGACTGTCGAGTGAAATCGTCAGGCATATTCCACAGACTTGGCCGGACAAATCTAATCTTGTCGAGGAAGAGCGTCGTTGCCTCGATGTGTGAATAATGTAGGACCACGAAGTCTTCTTTTCATTATCATAATCATAATCGACAAGAATAGGCACACTAAAACATATAAGCCTACAAGGAACTCTGAAACTTGGCGGTTTATTACCATTTACTGCAAATTGATAAGAAATTAATGTTGGCATACCTTCCATTTGGTTTCAAGAGACGAGTGGAAGCGATTCGTCAGATGGCCTCCTCGGAAGCTGTAAAGGGATCATCGCCTTGGAGCAGTGTTTGGAGATTTGTGGGAATAGGTCATTGGCACACCCTCCTGCGACCCGGATGAATCCTTGATGCACTTGCGATTCTCTTGCACTCGCCTCTTCAGACGTCGAGTTTTTGAGGGGTTCTTCGAGAACCAGCGCGACCTCGAGACTGCCACCCACCTCAGCCTGGATGAGACCAACTTTGGCGAAGCAAGACTGCGTGAAATTGAATGGAAACGTCAGCTCTATTCACACAATTGTGGGAAAATTGTACCACCTCGAAGGGAATAGGGCGAATGCATTTCATGTAAACAGGAACCTAGTCGCTCCAGCTCGGCCAAGGTGGGTTTAGAACTGATAAATGAGTTTTCCCCAAATCAGCTCATCCGGTCTAGAGAGTCTAGGTTTCTTTCTTTCAGCATAACCAACGTACTCAACAACGGCCAGCTTCATCATCCGGACGAAATGTGTCTTGTGGAAGGGTTTTTCGGCATTTTCTCTTTCTAAAATAGTGTTCTGGCGCGATGAGGCGATGAGACGGCACGGGTCGACGCCTCCTCTGACCCGAGTGACGGTGTCTGCACCAGAGTCCGGCCTATTCACTCCCCTTTTGTAGGCCTGCTCGAGCCCACACCAGACTCCGCCCCAAACACACGCACACACACACACACACACATACACACGCAGACCTACCTATACACACACAGACATGCGGGCACACACGCACAAGCGCGCAGGCACCCAGATGCGGCCTCGCAGATTGGTTGATCAGTCGTGTTGGGATCGACGAAGTGGGCCAATCAGACGCCAGGCTTGAACACCGACTGGTCGGGCCTCCGGACTGTGGGCACAGGGTGGCCAGGAGACTGGCTACATTCACATACACAAACACACACACACACACACACACACAAACAAGAAGCCAAATTGGCCGGTCGGTAGTCGGGCTGTCGGGTTGGCGAGGCCAGTTGCTGAGTCAGCCTCGGAGAAAAGCTTCCAGGTCTACCAGACCAGGCAGATCCGCCCACCGGCACAGACTTTTCGGATTGACTGTGAAACTGTGAGCCATCCAGTCTCTTTCGGCCAGCCGACTAGGGATTACATGCTTTGGCAGAACTGAACGAGTGGCGGCATCCATTTTGTGATTCCTTTCCACGGTTTTCCGCCCGGTGAACTCGAGCCAAGGCCCTGTCGTCTGTAGAGGAAGGTAGGAAAGACTTTCTAATTTATGCCGATTTGAAGAAATCTTCAAATGCTCTTTTTCTCAGCCATTTCGCATTCAATCTCAAAGTCTGCTCTTGCTTCCAGCAAACTTTTACAGGCGAGAGAGAGATAGATAGATATATAGATAGAGAGAGAGAAAGAGAAATAGAAAGAAAGAGAGAGAGAAAGAGTCCGGAAGGGATGATGGAGCACCTTGTGAGCATGTGTCTGGCGGCTGCTCACACCCTGAGTGGGTCCTTTAGCGTGGATGGACGCATCTGATCACGCCATTCTGGGGTCGAGTCCCGTCGGTACTGACGAGGCGAGGATGGGATCATCTGTTGCCGAGTAAAACTGATGCGGAATCCAAAGACATCGTCTATTTCACAATTTGCTAGTCTGCACTTTTTTTGCGTCCGCCCGTTAAAATCTTGCGAAGCAACGTGACATGATATATTGTATGTGTCAAAAATACTACTGATAGCGATAGCAGTAGTGATTATTAGAAAAAATAATAAAGTAGTATGTGAGGGAGCTATAAGTAGTTGCTGGATAATCACTGGATCGTGTAGTTGGTTCCGATTGGATGAAAATGCCTGTTGGACGTCAAGTCGAGGGAAAAAGTGATGACATCGTCAGACAAGTGGCGTTCGCGACAGTTAGTACCAAGGCTCATCATGTCAAGTTTTGTCTTCAATTGCAAATCGGACGTAGAGTGGCCGAATGGGCGACTGCTGCCAGTAATTTCAATGTTGATGGAGCTGAATAAAAGGGAAATAAACACTTTTGCCCACAAAAGATATACGCATCTATGGAGTTTAGAATAGGTGGTTTTTCACACTCCCTCAATGGTTTATGGCGTTTCATATGACCCAACTGATCATTCCCGGGCTCAGCGGAAACCGGACTGGGATTGCTGTGGATAAGAGACGAATTCATGAACTTTTCCAACAGACTTTTTTTCGAGACGGCAAGTCAGGTGACTCCAAATTTTCAAGGATTCCTCTACAATA